GGCAGGTCACAGGCCCTGCCATTGGCTGGCTGGCTGGCTGGCTTTAATTGGGGATAAACCCACCTAAAACGCCAATCATACAAAAGAACAGTCATAAGAATGTATTCATAATAATAAAATAATGTATTTCTTTGCAGCAAGAGTGATAGGGAACGCTTTATACTCAGTTTAACCCAGGTGCATTTTGAATTGTTTTAACTAATCATCTTGTAATAAATGTAATTTCATGATTATACCAGCATAAATTCCACAACTGTTACCAAGCAAATACAATTGCCGCTTTCCAACATCGTCTTGTGATGTAAAATTCTTTGCGATTACAATACACAACACAAGTTAAACATTAACAATGGTTAATTACAGTAATATAGTATTATATATATATTTTTTTTTAGTTTAGTTTTTTTTTTTTTTCATTTTAATTTCTCTGGACTCCTTTTTAATGGTTAAATTAAACTTTATTCATCAAAAATCATGTATAATTGTTTTCAGACATCCCACCCAGCAAAAACTCATTTCAGTGAGGTTGTCCCACACCCCCAAAGTCCCCCACAAATTTAATCAAATATTTTTGAGCACATATTTGAATTATTTACAGAACACATACATACTATGTTTTATGTTTTTATGACTGTGAAAATTGCTAATGTTTGCTTATTTAATTTAATTCTGTAACCTACTTGTTCTACAGATCTGTGTACTAGTGTAAAATGCTACTGTTTTTGATAGCGTTGATAACGTTTCTAATAGATAATATCATGATTATTTTTTTTTTTTTGCATTTGCCGTACCGAATGTGCTATCCTGTCAGCAATAACCTGTCCATAAGCTTGATAACTGTGAGTTTAAGATGCAGTGTTGGCAGATATTGCTATAAAACAAGTAAAAACCGAAAATAAATAAAAAAAGTGAACCGAAATTATTTCAGATATTTTGCAAATAAGATAAGGATATCACTGATACTAAACTGCAACTTCCTGCTTAATTAACTTTCTAAAGTATCAAATTAAGTGGAGTGAAAAGTCATTAAGTGCATGTGAATTAGGTTTCATAAATGTGAATTGGGATACGCATTACCATTATTATTTATATAGGCCTATCGCTTTTTACAATGCAGATTGTGTCACAGCAGCTTTACAGTATTAAACGTGGAAATAGTGTGTCGAAATAGTGTGCCGTTCTCCTCTGGCCAGACGAAACCAGCAGTTTCATTCTAGGTTGCAACAAAGTCAGATTGTGCAGAGGACTCATCTGGTTCCCGTGGTCTTGTAACGATTGCC